GAGGAGGAGGAGGAGGAAGAGGAGGAGGAGTATAAAAAGCTGCTGCTCTCTTTCAGTCGAGTTTAAATACACTTAAGTTTCACCTGATCAGAGCTTTCATCAACCTGCGGATTACCGACATGCTGCAGCGGTGAGTTCATTCTTTAGCTACAAATGAGCCTGCTGGGTCAAGACTGTCTTCAAACTTTGAACCGCTTTAAATGGTTTCACAAAGCTCAAGAGGCACTCCTGCTCTCTGCCTGGAGAAAATCATGAAGCCGATGAGTCTCAGAGTTTTTCAAGAGCTCCTTTTCGACCTTTGATCTGATTCACATTGTACAGTAACACAGAGAGGTGAAATAATTTCAAAGTAAACTACAGCGTGAAGTCTGGCTCTGTGTGGTGCTGCTGTCTGAGTTCAGGCCGTGTTCGGGTTGTTTGCTGGCTGAATAAATCCTGTTTCCTCTCACCGACAGTAACACACTGATCCTTAAAGGTTCTCCGCGCTGGCTCGCTATATGTTGGTAAAGAATAGATGCTTTGTGTGTTTCTGAGGAGGAGACACAAAGGAGCCCAGTCATTTAACCTGAGATTGATCACCTGGCATTCATCACTTCATGTTCTTTAGTTTCTTTCCTGCAGTTGTGTTGAGAGAGAAGTCATGGTTTTTGATTAGATTTCCCGATAAATCTGACCCTATTCTGGGTTCAGATTTACGTTTAGCTTTAAATTTCCATTTAGACTATTAGCAAAAACATCGAAAACATGTCAAAATCACAGCAACCGATTCATCGAAAAGCTTTTGTTCTTCATGTTTTTACCAAGATAGTCAAATTATGCAAACAGGCTGCAGTCAAATCACACTTTGCAACACTTTGGATTGAAAATCGTGTGTGTGTGTGTGTGTGTGTGTGTGTGTGTGTGTTTTGCAGGTCAACTGTGTTGCTGCTCTTTGCGCTTGTTGCTGTTTCACTTGCAGCTCCAGTCCAGAGTAAGCCATGACATCATTATCATCATATCATTAATCAATCACTTTTATCAGTCTGTATTTTCATATGAAATTATAATTATTTAACAATTCAAGTGTTTTTACAGATTTATTTTACAGATTGTATTAACTGTAGTGACCTAACTAAGGGTCATTAGTATTAAAAGCCCGTAGTCATCAGTTATGATTTTACATGTGGCACGTTTGATATGAAACATGTGGTCAGTGTGTCTGATGTCATCATTTCTTTTCCTTCCAGAGAGAAACTCAGAAGATGGTAAATATAAGGTCGCTTGCATTAGTTAAAGATTTGACCTTTGATCCTGCCGTTTCAAAAACAATTCAATTTAAATCAGTGTTCAGTCTGTGTCCGAGGTGGTGAGTGGTGGCTGGAGTACCACCTACAGACCTCAGAGGTCGATATATGAAAGTGTTTTTTTTTTCTGTTCCAGAGAGAATTGTGCCTCTGTTGGAGCACCTGAATGGTAGTGCGCGCACACACACAGACACACACAAGCACACACACAGACACACACACACTATTGTTTATTCTGTTGATTTTGTTTTTAGGTGGCAGGACAAGTGAACCTGTCACAACAGAGCCAGGTAACAATACAGCACACACTTCACATTGTTTACACTTCACACTAGACACACA